TCCTCCAAGAAAAGCAAAATTTTGTCCCACTGTGTACAAAAAAGCATTTCAAATAATAATAATAAAAAAAAACCCAGCTGATTCTCTAAGGTACTTCAAATTCCTATCTATGTTTCCATTCCCATACTAAACATAGTTCTTTTCTTACATCGATGCCAGACCTCTCAAATGGCCTGACAGTGCACTGTAGGCCCTCACTGATGCCATTAACAAAAAGCATTTCTGATATCTGTTTGGCCCTCAACAATTCTCGTCAGGCTTTTCCTGCATTATCACATGTTGTTGATCATTTTGTAGATATAGGAAATCAGGTTTAGAGAGGAAAAGTAACTTGTCTATGATTCCACCCCTAGTAAATGACTAGAACTTTGAATTCTAGTTTTCTTGCCCAAAGATATTTCAAAACATGAAAGAATAGCTGTGTGGGGAATGGGAAGGGTGTGGGCGGGTCTGTGTGGTTTGGAAAGCAAATGAGGCAGAAAGGGTCCAGTGGCCAGAAAACAGTCACCTGGCCAAAAGAGACGCAGAGAAGTCTGAGAAATGCAGTGTTTTGGTGGGACCTTGCAACTCTGAATAAAATTACTGTTCTGTTACTAAGGAAGAATGGGAAGATTAATATTGAATGAACAATTAGCCATGTCTGTTGTAGTTAAGAAGAATTTTACACACACACACACACACACACACACACTTGAATACATGAGCACAAGTAGAGTAAGTAGAGCTTCCTTTGTGATTGTTCTTCAGCTGTTTGTATATTTATGAAACTAACTAGGACAAGAGAGCAGCAGTTTTAAATTCTTTTCCTTCTTTCTATGATTTTTCTCTTCACATAGTAAATGTTTAAGTAAATATTTCTGCTACTGACCCTGCCATCGAAGGAGAATTATTTTTTGAATATAGACCCAGTAAAGCATTTGGTATTTTAATTTAGTCAAATATAGTATTACAATATGATCAGAGCTTTAACTTGTCCTTAGCTATCCGGCTTGGTCGACATTTCTCTACACTTTTGATTAACGTTTCTCTCAAAAAAGGAATGCTTACAAACAGGTGGACTTACTTTAATATTGACAGTTCATAAACAAAATTTCTTATTCCCTTAGGCTTATCACTATGAGAAACAATGAAGTAAGGCCTGAGCCATCCCAAGGCCTATAAATTGAATTCATCATGTTTGCTACATGCTATAGAAAATGAATTTAACTTTTTATTTTTCTCACCTTTGTCTGCCTTCTCTGCAGGCTGTATATCGATGGTCCATTTGGAAGTCCCTTTGAGGAATCACTGAACTATGAGGTTAGCCTCTGCGTGGCTGGAGGCATTGGAGTAACTCCATTTGCATCAATACTCAACACCCTGCTGTATGTCATTTTGATCCATTTTGTTACTCCAAATAGAGACGTGCCAATATTTCAGATATCTTTCTTTGTAGTATGAAATAATTTCTTCTACTCATTGTCCAAGGAGTTCCATTTACTAGTTAATGAGGGGAATAATTTGCTCCCAGCGTGCTGTTTTTGTAAAAATATGTCAGGATCACAATTATGCCTTCCTCTGCCCTTTTCCTCTGTTAACAGTCAGTCACCACCTTCCTTCAATTCTCTACCTCTTCATCAGTGGTCAGTGGCACTACTCATTCATTCATCAACAAATATGTTGAGTACCCATGTGCCAATCAGTTTGAAAGGTGCTGGGAATACTGCAATGAGTGAAAACAGCATCCCTGCCCTTAAAAAGCTTACCTTCTAATGAGGCAAGTGAAAAATAAAGCAATGGGAAATTTATAAATAGAATCTTTTAAAAATATATTAGAATTTAAAGAATACAGAATAGTGGGATATAAAAATCAAGGACTGGTGGCTGTCCGGTTAGCTCAGTTGGTTAAGGCATGATGTTATAACACCAAGGTCAAGGGTTCAGAACCCTAAACTGGCTAGCCACCAAAACAAACCAAAAAAACTCTAGGGCTGGGGTTATAGTAGAAGTATGGCCAGGAAAAGCTTTTCTGTGAAGATGATAAATGAACACATTATTTTTTGGTTTATTACTTAGCAAATTTACAACGGTCAAAAGAGAAGAACTTTAAAAGGTGATATTGCTTAACCAGGAAATATTCCTTCAGTTATTTCAGCTTCAAAATTATAAGCAAAAGTTAATTGATTATTAATATTAATTGTTGTGAAAACACAAAATGACATCAGGAAGTTACTCTCAAATCAATTCCATTCACTTTTCAAGTAGACACAATTTTCATTAAAATCTGTTTTATGGAGTACCAAAAAGAAATGATAAGTTGAATGTGTTTGAATGATGTTTTATTTCTATTTTAAATGCTAGATGTAAATTTGAGAATTTGTGGAGGTTCTTACAAAAATAACCATATTCCAAGTCAGAAATCATTTGTTTCTGACAACATATTACAAGTTATGAAAAAGGAAGAACATTTTTTAACCTCAAGCCTACTTCATAATTATAAATAGGAATCCAGGCTCAGAATTATGAGTTGCTGGAATCACAACCATAGTACTTGGTTGTGAAATTTCTTTGTTTAATAATTATTAAGAAGGGGATAAACAACCAACTTTCTGGAATGGTTTTGGTTCATTTTTCTTGGAAGTTAGGGCAAGACCAAATGGTATTTGGAGCCCTGTACAGTAACAGAATTCACAGAAAACAGAACTTGTTTTTCTGAGATACAGGGGCCAACATTATTCTGACCCAGGAATTCAGCTTATGGCCTTCAACTGGAAACAGATTATATGCATATGATATTCACAAGTATAAACACAAATTTATAATGTGTGCCATTTCTTTGAGTCAGCATATTGCATATTAAATTCGTTTGTGAGTTATTGTAAGTGCTATATCAGATGTTAGAATATAAATGACTGATTTTCTATTGCTTGCTTTCTAATGAAAAGCAAAGTTTGAAGAATATAGGGATTCTTCAGTTTTTTTGTTTGCCATTTTTATCACTATTACTTTATTTTAATTTTAAAGGGATGACTGGAAGCCATACAAGCTTAGAAGACTGTACTTTATTTGGGTGTGCAGAGACATACAATCCTTCCATTGGTTTGCAGACTTACTCTGTGTATTGCATAACAAGGTAACATTAGGATTGTTTTTAGTTTTGCAGTTTTTTAAATTAAAAAAAAAATTTTTATATTACAAAAGTGATAAATGCTTGCTCTAGAATAAAGTACTTATCTGCATATAGAAATTATGAAGATAAATAACAAAGAAAGAAAAAAGTCTCAAATATTT